TCACCATACCAGTCCCTGGCTTCTCTATTTAATGGGTCCCGGTAAATTCCAGATCCTTTTCGGGATTTTAACATCTTTTTTCTCTCTACTTCTACGTCTCTTCTTTCAACAACAACGTTGTGTCAGAGCTATGTTTACGTTTGCGTAGCCGTCAATATGACCGCGACGTCCCACAATGCAACGTGGATCCCGAGCCCTATATTACATGATTTAGAGACTTCATTGACTTCATAATGAATATGCAATGTGATGTCCCTTTTTTTATTTTAAGTTTAAATAATCTTAAAATACCAATCTTTGTTCGATCCTGTAGCTCAAGTATTGTTTACGTTGATACCGGTCTATCTAGGGAGTACCAATATGGCGGCTGGTGGCTTCATTTCAACCCCATACTATCAACGGGCTATCATTTTTCCAGGAAATAAATGGAGAACGGCACTCTGAACATCCTATGAACTCTGGGATTTGAAGTTCTAAGACTGAGGGTTAGTGTGTACAATTCTGCAAACAGAAAGTAGGTGCCCTTTACAGCTAAATGTAAACTTTCAAAGGGACTGAATATAAAAAAATACAGTTTGTGATCAAACCATGGCGTTCATTATCAATAGAGTATTCTTTAGAGAATTAGACAACTTAGTTTGGACATCACGACTTTATCGGTCAACTGTTAACGTCAACTATTACATGTAAGATACATAAAGAAAAAACAAAAAAAAAAATTAAGTTGAACTTTACTCACCCCAGTGCTGACTCCTTTGACTTTAGACTCCGTGTAGTGTTTCTCCATTTTCTCTGTAAAATCGAAAGGAGGAAGGAGACGTGACGCTCAGAACAGCGACCTCAGGCGCAGCGCTCCGAGACGCGCAGAGAATCCGCAGGAACATCAACGATGGCGCTGTCCTCTGTCCTCCAAACTCATCCAGCGGGATTCAACTTTGACAATGTGGCGAGGTAAGAGGATTACTTTACTGTGCAGAAGTTAAAACAGCACATCAATAGAGAAAATATCATATGAAAACGTCAGTTGAAGCAGGTCTTTCACTTGGATCAAAACCGAAAGTATTTTTTCCTTAGTCAATGAACTACAATTTCAAGGTGTGACCCTTGTTAATAATAATCAGCAGTTTTCTCCAACTGTCATATTAATGCTCCTCTTATTTCCCACCCACCTCGGTCATTTTTATTTTTTTTAGAAATTCTGCGTTAGAGGGTCTTTTTGAAGGAGGACAGACCCCCAAACCTCTGAAAACTGGAACCACTATAGCAGGAGTTGTGTTTAAGGTGAGTGCTACTTATTGTAGCTTACTTAATTGTTGTTGAAGAACAATAGCGCAGTCTATATCAAGCAAGGTAAAAAAATATGTTTATAAAAGAGCACGCATTTCCAGTGTCCAATCTAGAAATGTTTCAATCTGAGGGCAAAGGAAGCACAAAATGTCTAAACAGGGTGGTGATGCAGGATCTCTTTACCAAAATACACCAGAAATTTCTTAGATGTAAATGGAATCTACAAAATATGACAAAAAAATAATTGGGTAATTTTTTCTTTATAAAGAATTTATAAAAGAGAAGAATTTATAAAAGAAAAGACATCTTTAATTCAATAATAACATGGTGGGGTAACAATTAGAACTTTAGATATACACACTTGACATAATTAATTGGTGAAACCCTACCTTTTGCGTTATGCAATAGGATGGAGTCGTCCTGGGAGCCGACACAAGAGCCACGTCCAGTGAAGTGGTGGCCGACAAGATGTGTGCAAAGATCCACTACATCTCTCCAAATATATAGTAAGTTTAATAAGTTTTGATTAGAACAATGGCGGAAGTATGCCATCATAGACCTAATTAATGTTCACTCATAAGTTTTTGAGAAAATATTTCAGACAACAATAAAACTAGATTTTTTTTCAGCAGAGTTTTCTTTAATATTTGACTCTCCATGTTTCTTTTTAGATTATTTTATGATCCATACAGAGCTTTATGTTCTCTTCACTATGTATGAAAAATACTCTGAATAAAGAGTAACTGATATAACATCAGCAATTTGAACTTATGGTGCGTTTTATGGTACAGTGCTGTTTGTGTCAATCTATCCTTGTCACACTTGTTCTAGAGTCAGGTATGGAACTGTAGCACCATACTATATATATTAAAAAAAAGATGAACTGAGAATTGATAAAATCTTGCACACATGTTGACTTTCAATTAAAGATAGAGTAGCATGGAATATGTGTTATTATGTCTATTGAAATAAATTACCAACAGTGTACATTTTACCTTTCATTGTTGAAGCAAAACGCAAACCACAAAGAGTATTTTCTGCTTTATTTAATTATTTTCCTGTTTCTTTTATTATCTTTTAACACATTGTTTAATCTCCCTGTACATCAGTTGTTGTGGAGCAGGAACAGCAGCAGACACAGAGAAAACCACAGATCTCCTGTCATCCAACCTCTCCATCTTCTCACTGAACAGTGGGAGAAACCCTCGTGTTGTCATGGCTGTAAACATCCTGCAGGATATGCTGTACAGGTCAACACTTTGTTGGACAATGTGTAGAAAATGGAAAAACACCAGAAAAAAATTGGATATTTAAGCATTATTAATATTGGTATTTTAATAATAATGTATTAATTGTTTTTGTTCTCTATTGTCCTCAGGTATCATGGTCAGGTTGGTGCCAATCTGATACTGGGAGGAGTGGACTGTACTGGGAACCACCTGTA